GGCAACTCCATTTAAGAGAGTCCCATAGGAATTAATGTATCAGGACCTAACTGTGGGGTACTTTCCTCAAATCAAGAAAATAGCTTCTGCACAAGCCAATGCTCTGCTGGTTTTCCTTAGACATAAAATTTACTTTATTTCTTTTTTTAAAAAGTTAAAAATACAGAAGGTTCTGAAACTGATTTTCTCCTTGCAGATGTTCAAGCTGCAGCCTGAGGAGAAAACAATCCTTCACTGAAATGTTTCTCAATTTTATTTTTTTTATTTTTATTTTTTTTTAAATCATCACCACCATTAGGACAGAGGTTGAGGAGCACTGACTCCACCACTAATTTGATGACGTAGTTTTGATTCCAGATTCACATTTCCAGGTGCCAAGAGTCCAGAAAACAGCCATGATAAACTTCCGCCTTCGTATAATATTTCTTTCTATTGAACACAGCAGTGACCGTTGGCATCTTTGAAGCGTAATCGCATCTTAGGTCGGTATTTCTCAAGGTAAAGCAGCTGTTTGGAATTGAAAGCTCCCCTCCTTTTCCTAAAACAAACAGAATGAAGGCTAATATCAATGGAAAAAGTACTGCTTCAGTCACCAACTATTTTCTCAAGTAGACTAGTTATTTTGTTTCAAAGCTTTTCCATACCCATACAATGGCATTTTGGCTTGGTCCTTTATCCATTGACAGTTTGAGGAAGGATAAACCAGACCAGCACATGCAGTTCGTTACCTATGTGCCAATGTTAAATCAAAATCCAACTAGCAAATTTCAGCATATTTTCTTGGATTGGGAGAGTTTGTTTCCATCACCATCAGTTCTCACTGTCAACCCTCCCTTGAAGATGCATGTGCTACTTATTACATTAGCTAAGTAAGACCATGAATGTCAAATAAGAATATATAAATGGTGCTGAGAAAAGAATGTAGCATAAATATGAAAGGTATTGTAGCTAGGAGGAGAAAAAGAAATTTAAGGAAAGGAAAAAATTCAAAAAACCCACACAAAGCAAAAAAAAAAATCCAGAAAACCACACTGTTGACACAGTGGAGTTTATGGAAACAATTGGTAACTCAAGGATTCCATGAAAGGATGAATTTGTTTTTGGCAAAGCTTATTCATTATCTTTTACCTGCTGGGCTCCATTTCAAGATCTGGTGTTAACACTAAAACAACAGAGGGCTGCAGTCTCACCAATAACCAGTTCTGTTATTTTCCAGATTGGGTGGCTGCTGACATTTCCCACCAAGGTAACACACTCACCCACAACACCTGCAGGAGTGCTGAAGTGCAGGTACTTGCTGTAGAAACTCTGCTGCTTGGGGGCTCAACCTCACTACATTTTCTCTTGAATGAAGAGCAATTTGTCCGACTCATGCATGATTTTTACAACCCTAGCCTGTAAATTCTTTTTTGAATTCCAAAGCTTTGAGTTTTGAACAAAGTTCAAAAACAAAATTCAAAGAAAATTTTGAAAAAAAATTCAACAAGAGTCCAATAGTTTAATATATTAACCAGGAAATTTCTTGTAAATTGGTAAATATAACTTACTGCCTTATAAACTGAACTGCATCTTCGTATTTCATTCCACATTCAATGAGAGCAAGTGCAACCAGGACAGGAGCCCTAAATGAGAAATCAATATTTAAGAAAGATGTGGAAAACCAAAACATTGAATCCCTCCAAATACATCAAATTAATCTATAAGCAAGTATTTAAGTGTCTTCTCTTTAAACCTTATCTACAAAAAGACATTTGCCTGCTGAGTATCTAACGCAACATTCCTTTTAGCAGACAGCTCTGCTTCCAGCACACACACACACACGCGCGCAGCTCCTTGGTGTTTGCCATGAAAAAGTACTTGTGGATTTTTACGCTTTCTCATTTCACTCTAGCCTAATTTTGCTTTGCTCAAAGAAGTCTATAGTGTCTCTTCAATGCATTTTATTTCCTATGACACTGTAGGTTTAATTGCATATGAGATAGATCTATATGGCATTTAACAGATGACTTCTACAGATTAACCTTTTTTGCTGTATGCTATACGTGGAATCAGAGTCCCAGGGGCAATAAAGTAAAACTTTCTACTTTGGGCTCCTCACTTTGGAAATCACCTAAATGTAAAGGGCAAGCTTTTCAAAAGAGCTGAAATCACAGTACATATTAATTTTCTACTGGACTGACGTTCATCCACACGCAGTTGCCACCAGCACCTCTGACAGAGTTGTAAAGGCAATTGGACAACTTGTAATCATAACTAAACAACAAACAGTTCAGGAATTAGGAGAAACAACTCACACTATCGCTGCCGTGCTGCACCTGCATAAACAGAAGAAATTGCTTTCCAAAGGACATAATCTGAAACCTCAAAAGCAGTAAGCACTTTTTTTAAATGCTGTCTCCACTTGCTATAGCTGAGGTTTAATTGCCTACTACAGGTGGACAATTTTCCAGATTAAAGCAAAATCTGGAAAATTCCTCCTTTTCCTTCTGCCAGAAAGAGCCTGGGAACAACAGCAAAAAGGTCATTCTGTAAGGAATAAATATATATTACGAGTTTATACACACCAGATGGGAAGATTCTGTACGCTATTGCCTGATACCACACAAGAAACAGGAGAGGAAAATCATTTGAGTTACAACATGTGGTCACCTTCCTAAAGATGATCCTCAGCTAAAAATATGGCAGAAATGAATAAATAAATCATGCTAATTGCCTTGGTTTTGTCTGGCTAGTTTTTCATCTCAAAACACTGGCCATTTTCCCCCCTATCTTTCCATTTCCCCCTACCTCTTCTTCTCTAGAGGAGACTTAAGAACTTGACACACACTAGCCTGCTTACACCTGACTTGGCGCTAATTCACCTTTCTGTCTAATCATTCAGACCTTTGAATATTAACAGTCCCACAGTCATCAGAAGAATACTAGCACTTAAGCTCCGCTCCTTCCCAGTCCACAGTATAAACACAACATCCAAAGATTGCGTTTGAGTATGAAGGTAGCATTTAACTCTTTTTATATGTATTTTTTATTTCATCCTGAAAGGGAGTTTTTCATAGAGAAGGTAGTTACGCTTTGAATGGTGAGAAGGGGAGAAAAAAAAACAGTCTGCATGTTAGCAAGAAATACTAGCCTAACTCTACTTGCCCCTGAAGTGAAGCCACATTAGAGTAAGAAAAGCCAGCAATTGAAGTGTTTTTTTCCTAAATGCATTTTTTTTGGCCATATGCTAAATAGCATAACTAGTTGAAAATAAGAGGAAATGTTTAAGAACTGCAGTACAATTTCCAAGGCCATGCACGCGTATATTGCATTTGACAAAAAGCAAAGAGATTTTATTCCCTTAGCAGTAAGAAATACACTTTCAATTAGTAGTGCCTCTACCTCCTCTTGTATCACTTGTGATTGACAGAAGTGTCTTGAACACTCCAAAATTTTATCTCATCCTGGAGCAGAGTTATGAAATTATCAAAGACTTCCACACTGCAGTAAATCTCTTTTGCTTTATTGATACAAACTTGCTGATGACACTTAAAAGTCCTACTTGGGAGGAAACAGAAATTGGCATTTACTCAACACCTTCCATGACCTACCTCCCAGAACATAAACAACTTACTGAAATCCAGCATAAAAACAAGACAGCAGAATACTAACCTTCCCAACCCTGCAACACAGTGAACAGCAATACAGCATCCAGGCTCTTCACGAAATTTACTTTTCAACAGGTTTAGCCAGTCATCAACTATCTGATTCGGGGGTGGTGCTCCATCATCAAACGGCCAGTCCTTTGAAGGAAAAAACACATTAGGTGAAAACCTTCCTGAAGCAGATACCCACAAACAGATTTTAATCCATAATCAACAGCAAGGTAACCATATTTAGAAGAAAAATATTCCATTCAGTCAAGAAGTACATATTATAGCAACAGTTTAGTGGGTAGTTTACTAATTGTATAGAAGTTTGCAAATCAATATCATAATGTAACACTGAGTTTTTAACAACCAAGTAATTAGACTTTTCAATAAAATTTCAATAAAACTCCACTGTAGTATAGAGTTTTTAGAAAAACAATTGCCTTTGAAATGTCTATTGATTTTTATATATTTTGAATAAAATGAGATTTCAATTAAATACTTGAGAGATGAGAACTCTAATTTTTGCCTGTGGTTGTGTCAACCTTTTAAAATTCTGTTTGCACTGCAGATTCTGCAGAGAGGAAAAGACACTTCAGAACAATTCCAATGGATCAGCTTGTCCAGATGCAACGTATGGCATCCAATAAGCAAGACAGTCAAAATTACCAAGGTATTTTCCAGTTGAAAACACATTCATAAGCAAAAAGAAAAAAAAAAGCACTTAGGCAAAAGCGAAGTCAACAACCAAACAGAATTTATTATTTCATTTCACCTATATAAGGGGTTGCCAATATTTAAACTATCTAGGCCACGCTAAGCATCACCAACCTGGCTGTGAATCAAAATTACATGTGAGAAGCTTCCCCTTTTCTCTAGGTCATAGCTCCCTCCTGGGATCTGTGCTAAGTGGAGTACTATACGTCCTAAAATTATATTTCAAGACCAAGTATAACATGTCACATGTTTTAGAGTCTTCTCAGAAGCAGCAAGTGCTGTAGAAAGAACACTCCTAGAT